CGAAGCAGCGAAATTTGTTTTTGATTATTGTTCTAACTATGAATAGAAAAAATAACTCTTTTTTTACATAATCTTTAAATGAAAAAACAGAAAGTTCATTTTGACGTATTTAATCGTATCATAAGTACAGGGATAATTTCTCAGTCAACATCAGAAGTTGAATCTCGAAAATAATTTTATGAACAAGCAAGTAAATATATTAAATCTTTAAATAGTAAATTTCGATAAAAGATAGTAATCATGCAAGTTATGGACGAAAAGATTATTCTTCATCGCCTTACGAATAAGTGTTCAACAGATTTTGATTCACGTTTTACTTCTTGGTGTTGCATTTCTTTTGTCGTACAAAATATTGACTTGAAAATTTTACTATGTGATGCAAAAATTGATTAACGGACTTTAGTATGTGAAGCGATGAAGGATGTTTAGTAACGCACTTATGTTGAATCCGTAGCTTCTCTAAAGAGATACTTTTTCGAATGATATACAGCTACCAAGGGGAAAACAGCAGAGACTTCAGTCGTGAAGTCCCATGAAGTCGTGAAAGTCTTTCGAAGTCTTCTGAAGCCTCTTTGGAGTCTTATGAATTCTCATAAAGTCTCTTGAAGTCTCTGAAGTCTCATTAAGTTTTCTGAAGTCTCATAAAGTCTTATGAAGTCTCATAAAGTCTCTTGAAGTCTCTTGAAGTCTCATGAATTCTTATGGAAGTTTTGAAATACATTTAGTGCATGAAAATTCATAAAAAAGCAATGAAATTGTCTTGTTTTCGACGGTCTTATTTTAGCAGAAAGGTGAACTTTTTATTGTTTGTTTGTCAAGGTACTGGAAAATAATTCAAGTTTGTTGGATCTTAGAAAACATGATAGTTAAGAACTGAATGCTTTTTGAATGAAGTGGTTTATTTTTACAAGAAATGTTCCATCTATTCGATGTCAATCTTATGAGGAATTTTATTCCTTTTTGTTTATTTCTATCACTCGTGATAATCTATCAGCCGATAAACGGCTGGCTTTGTCGGTCAATTACCAACAAGTCGTTTGCTTGTGTATAAATTTAGTCTTGTTATTTATTTGCACCTGAAAATAGGAGTTTTCCAATGCTGGATTAATCGAATTAAATATACGCATACCAGTAAAGTTTATTTTCTCTATTTTAATTTCCTCAACGCTTTGTGTCATTGTCACATCTTTATTCTAGATATAGATATACTGCGAGAAACAATTCTCAGAAACAAGAAACACTTTTGTAATCTCTATATGATAAGTTTTGTTTTTTGCATGTTATAGAGGTTTCATGTAATTTCTATAAGGTTTTTTGATACGCATAGAATCTGCCTCTTGAAGTCCTGTGAAGTCTTGCGAAGTCTTGTGAAGTCTTGTGATGTCTTGTGAAGTCTTGTGAAGTTTTGTGAAGTTTTGTGAAGTTGTGTGAAGTCTTGTGAAGTCTTGTGAAGTCTTGTGAAGTTTTGTGAAGTCTTGTGAAGTTTTATGAAGTCTTATGAAGTCTTATAAAGTCTCAAGAAGTCCTGCAAAGTCTCTGAAGTCTCATGAAATCCGTGAAGTCTCGTGAAGTCCGTGAAGTCTCAAGAAGTCTGTGAAGTCTAACGAAGTCTTTTGAAGTCCCATGAAGTCATACGAAGTCTTATACAGTCTTGTGAAGTCATTTGGAGTCCTATAAAGTCTTCAGAAGTCTTTAGAACTCTTTTGAAGTCTTGTGAAAACATGAAGTCACTGCGGTTGAAGTCTGTTGAAGTCTTTTGAAGTCTTGAAGTCTTGAAGTCCGCTGTTTTCCCCTTGCTAAATCTGCTTTCAGATTTGACAGAAGAATAATATCATGACAAGTCGCTTTTAAATTACAAATTCTCTACTTTACATACGTATCAAACTCCTCATATGAAGTCAGATATTAATAATCTTCTTCCGAAAAGTCTTACACTCGGGAATTCTAACAGCGGAATTTCATGTCAGTTCCAAATACATTGGAATTTCAGCATATCTTGAATAAAATTTCTACTATTTACTGTTAGATTAGTATTTGTGCATAGCTATTACTCAAAAACTTGAAAGCTGAACATAATTGTCTCTTTCGTTTTAGTCTTTTAGTCAAGCTGAACGAGATGAGGTGCACAATGCAACTCGAAAAATGTTAAAAACAGTTGGAATTCTTCAGCCACCACAATTACCAATTGTTATGGGGAATTAAGTGGCACAAGCGAAAGAAAAAAAAAGAAACAAATAATTTCACAAGATGACATATTAATGGAATTTGCCAATGAAGATGAATTAGGATCTGATGAAGAAACCTATGACGAAGTCGATTATTATGCAAAAGCAAAATTAAGTTTTGTTAAAGAAGAATCAGTATTAGAATGGTGACAAAAATGGTCATTGAATTATCCACAACTTAGTGTACTGGCAAAATGGCTATTAGGAATTCCAGCTAGTTCAGCAACAAGCGAAAGCATTTTCAGTGCAAGTGGAAGAGTTTTAGAAGAAAGAAGGCAAAATTTAAACGGGGAGATTGTTAATGATATTTTATTGGTAAGAAACTTTCGAAATATGTTATAATTTTATATTTAATTTTCGTTGGAAATTACTAAAAATATATTGAAATACAATGAAAAAGCAGCCTGTTAACATTCACTTAAATGTAAAACGTTGTGCATAGTAGAGTACAAGATACAGAATTTGTATGGTAGGGTAAGGGTACGAAAAAGTCGCACTCTGTAGGACTCTAATGAACTATAAGAAGTATAATCGACGTCTTTTAAAAATCTTTATGAAATTTTGTCTCTCATGTCGAAAAAGAAAATATTACAAAAACTAATATGATCAATATGACCAATAAGTTCGTTTTTGAACCTTGAAACATCTATCTTTTACATTAAAATTCTTAACATATCGAATTAACACAGCCTTACCCTTGAAGTATATGAACATAGATGTGAAAAAGAATTGAAATAAATAGAACCTTAATTCTCCTTTCTTTTTCTTCTCTTTTTTTCTTTTCTTGGTCGGGCCAGGGGCACGTCTTCTGCCAGTGTAACTATAATAGCTATTTTTTCATTGAATGATCAAAGTTTAGATGGAGATATTATACTATGTGTCAACAAGAGAACTCTATCAATCCATAGCAACATGTTTGAGGCATACTACTGATTGATTATTGAATCATCTATGTAATTCATTATATGCTATCCACTATCTCACAATGGTCATATATAAATGACTTTCCGAGAAATTGATGTTTATCACAGTTTTTGCTGATAGTATCTTATATTTAATTACATGAAAGAGAATGTCCACATAAATTTATTTATCGAGCTTCCTGTAAATAAATAGATCTTGTTACTAAAGATCAGAATCAAAACAAATACTTGATATAAAAAATTCTACGACAATAAATTATTCGAAAAGTTAAAAAAAAAAATCAATAACTTCATTGAAAGACTAAAACTGACTTCTATTCAAACAATATACATCGTCCAATCTTTCGAATTTCTCGCCTTTCGAAACTGAATCAAAATTCAACAGAATATACTGACGAATTCTAAAAATTCCTAAAATCAGTTAAATTTTAACAGAAAGCAGTGGCGAACTCTACATCTTACTAAATTTAATATAATTTGCATTAGAGAAAGTGGCGAACCCTACACCTTCCTAAACTTAGTTAAATTGCAATTAAAGTTGAATATCACTTAATTTAAATGTATAAGACCGGTTATTTATTCTTATGTTTTTTAAAATTTTTTAAAATCTCAAGTCATTTAATAGTTTTGTCTAAAGCTCAATTTTGTCTGACAGATATGTATTTAGGGTTAGAATAAGCGATTAGAATACGACAATAGATATAGATTAGTGAATCGTTTTGTGGGTAACTGCTGGAAATCTATGCCAGATTATCGAAGTCTCAAAAACCTCTACTGGGTTTCCGGAATCGTGAACTTTTTTCATTGTTTTTAGGATTCTCAAGGCCTCGAAAACCCTTTCCTGGAAACCTATAAAGGGTTTCATATAATGACAAACCCGGAAATCTCCTCTAGGTTTTCAAGAAAATAGATTCTTTTTTAGAGTGTGCGTCATTACTGTAACGATTGAGAAATAGATATGACTAATCAAGGAGTTGATATCATCATGATATGGTCAAAAAAGTGAAAAATGACCCTTGCTGGTATTCTAGCCAGGGTGGTCCTCCCTT